AGATTTCTGACTAGGCCTATTTGAATTGATTATATCAACAAATATCGAGCAAAACTCATATATTGGGTTAGAAGGAGGGTAGTACTATAAGTTGCTATAACTATGTTCGATTTGTAAACATCCAGTTGTTGTAAACTTACGCGACTCGCGATTCTAGTACCTAGAGATTTCTGACTAGGCCTATTTGAATTGATTATATCAATAGATATCGAGCAAAACTCATATATTGGGTTAGAAGGAGGGTAGTACTATAAGTTGCTATAAATATGTTCGATTTGTTCTGATATGTTGATAAAAATAGTCATAACAAACCCGGTGGTTGTAAACATCCAGTTGTTGTAAACTTACGCGACTCGCGATTCTAGTACCTAGAGATTTCTGACTAGGCCTATTTGAATTGATTATATCAACAAATATCGAGCAAAACTTATATATTGGGTTAGAAGGATGATAGTACTATAAGTAACTGTCAAAATTAGGTACTATAATAACTCCTAAATTATTGTGATATCGTGGCATAAAAATCATGGGCCGTAAATCCGCACATGTTGAGCCACCGTAGAACGAGCGCCGTGTATCCTATGTGGCTTTTTACTATAACACTTATCTTGGTATCATTTTGAAGGCTAAATATAGGTCAAATTACTGCCCGTTTGCTAGCCACAAGTTACCTTTTCGCTTAACACTGCGTTCCAAGGCGAGAAGACCTACGACGTGAAACAGTCGTAGAGACTAGAGACTAGTCTGGGCAGGCTACGGTACCCGTGTTTGCCTTCCTCCAAGTTCGTGAAATCTCTATGGCTTGTGTTGTGTACGGAATGAGAAAGAATGCTTATGTTGCTTCTTAATCTTTATTGCATCTGTCATTACGCATACAGCGATGCTACGCATATGGTGAATGAACTGTGCACCCGCATTCCATACACAGGTATCAAGCCCTGACTGTGACTCGACAGAGAACGACCACCGTTGGCCTAACGATAACACTGGCACGGTATAAAGCTCCTACTCCTGCGCGTTCGGCTTCTACACAATCAATTGAATCATTCGATTCTATTCGCCGTTCCTTCGTCAACGCTCTAAATCAACCGCTCTCTATACTCGCATGAGCCAGCTCAGGGCCTTCTTCAGTTTGTAGAAACTAGAATAATGTTCAATCAGGGCTTCCATAGCATGCCAGACTGCATTTGCGGTGCTTGCAACTGCAACAGAAACATCCCTTTTCACTTCGGCATCTGTCTCCATCAAATCAATGGATGTCCGCATGTCATCAGGTGGCCAGGTGCTCTTGTACTCCCTGAGGAAGCTTGGGCCACAGAACCAAGATTGAGGAACAGACTCGGCACTACACCCACGTGACAATACGTCCGCAGGGTTTTCCTTTCCCTTTACGTGGCGCCATTGATCTGGATCACTGTGTTGCCTGATGAGCGACACTCTATTTGTGACAAACGTCTTGAACCTCTTTGCATCATTCTGGATATAGGCCAAGGTTATACGGCTGTCTGTCCAGAAGGTTGACCTAAGCAGTGGCACCTCCATTTCTCTCCTGATGGAAGGCCAGTCCAGCTTGGCCCCACCACAGCACCAGAAGTTTCTAGTCTGGAAGGGTGATCTTCTTGACTGGTGCTACCCTAGCCTTGCTGCTAGCAGGGCGCACATGGACTTTCCTGCTTGATTAATCATTCTTAGGTAGGAACAAGCTCCATACCCTATTTCGCTGGCGTCACTAAAGTGTGTGCAACCTCATCGCACTTTCCCGAACGCCGTCTGGAATGACACACCTGAAACTTGAGTTTGGGACATCGCGCTAAGGATGCTAACCAGGCAATCCATCTTTGACTAATACTAGGAGGGACTCATATCCAGGTAGCTTGAGCTTGGTGAACTTCCTGGAATAATATTTTCCCTTGGGAGATGATGGGTGAAACCAAACCAGTGGATCATACGTCGATGCAACTGACTCAGCATGACTCTCTCGTGATGCCTCGTGTTCTGTGTCCTTACTGACAAAGAGAAGCAGTCATTCATGACCTCCCACTTGCCTCCAAGGGCCTTGCTGCCACATGCTTGCTGTAATTTCCTTGACTTCTTTCGCTCTATCCTTGACATCCACACTTTGTAGGAGCTCGACGTCATTGACCACAAATTTGTCATTAAATCCTCCCAGCACGAGCACTTGCTTTGTCCCTGCATGATTTGGACAGCTTCTTCTTTGGTCTCGACAGACTTTAACATGTCATCTACATAGAACGAGCGACGAACAGTGTCCTTGATGTCTTCACTGACGGGAGAATCTTCAATAGTTTTCCGGAGGGCAAAGGTGCTACTGCTTGCACATCATACACCTCCAAAGGAGTGTGACGTCATCCTAAATCCACTGTGGCACCGTTCTCATCACACAAGAACCTCAAACGCATCCTGTCTCCAGTGGGATCTTTACCTGAAGGTACATGGCTTTCGATATCTGCCATAATGCGGTACATGCTGACGGAACCGAAGCAACACATGAAGGAGCTTGTTATTCAAATCCGGTCTGGCAAACATTGGCTGTTTAGGCTCACGCCATCCTTTTTTGAGGCACAATCAAAGACCACGCGAACCTTCCCCGGCTTGGCCTCGCTGACTACAGCATGATGTGGAAGGTACACACACCCCCATCATCTCTCTTTAGGTCGGCCTTCGGGTACACGTTCCGCGTACCCTCTCTTCACTAGACTCTCAATGTTGCCTGCATAGACCTCCAACATTTCCGTCTTCAGTAGCTTACAGCGAAGGTTTTCTAGTCTACTCGTGGCCATGGACCTGTTATTTGGCGGGCTAGGCTTGCCATCCCGCCACGGTACCGGCAATACGTAATGCCCATTCTCGCGAAATACTGATTCTTGTGCGTATACAATTCAGCGGCAGTATCAGCGGCCTCGTCCTAGTACTGCGCTACGCCACCAGGAGGCTCTTACATGTTTATGTAAATTCAACATCCCGTAATATAAAGGAAAAAAACATGTAAGCGTTCTTTCTCATTCCGTACACAACAGCTTGTATCTTGTATCTTGTTACCCTCTCTTGTAGCTTGTAAGGAGATTTATCTAATTCCCTAAATATTAGTGTTTGGAATCACCAGAATTTTCCGCAAATAATCTAGCGCTGGTTTCGATAACCCGTGGTATTACGTATTTACTAGGCGCAGCGTTGCCAGGTCCAAGCTGAACAATATCACAAAAGGCACATTGAAAAAATCACCAAATGGAACAAAAAAATCACCAAGTTTTAAAAATCTCAATATTTCACCATGTTAGCGCTTACTGAGGACTGATATTGACCACGTGTAACTTATTTACATTTTAAAGCGTGTTCGTTTTGTTCATTTCAGCAATAAAATTAAAAAATTAAAAATTAAAAAATTGTTACAATGCATTTAATAGGGGTCAAATCTCGAAAATTCAAAATGCACACATAAACTTTAAATATATCTCACCACTAGTCATAGATGTTTATGTTGAACCTTTCAAGCATTTGCTTGGTGACTTTGAAGTTATCACAGCATCCATAGGTGTGCTTTGTTAAACCAATGGCTCCAACAGTTTTGGTAGCCAGCTGATTCCTGTACTTGTTTTTGGCCCAAGTAACTATTGAGAAGATGCGCTCTACCGCTGCATTGGAGACCGGGCAGGACAGTGCACCAATGGCATATAGTGCTAATGCCTTATGTGGTGTTTCTCCTACTGAGTTCTTGTGTTGTAAAATTCCAATCCAAAAGCTCTGTGGGTCTCCCGGAATGCCACCTCTGAAGACGACCTCTTCCCTCCAAATGTGCAGCTCACCATTCTGTACTGTTCTTTCGACTTGATTGATGTTTTCACAGAGGTGTAGCATAGGCAGTTGGGAGAATTGCGCACATGACATCTGTGATAGGGACATTCCTTGACTCATACAAGAGAGCTGGGTGAATGTTTGTTTGTTGTCAGGTAGTCTTTTTTCTACTTCACTTACTAGGCGAATGAGAAAATCTGTACATCGGCTCTTCACATTGTCTACAGCCTGCACAGAACATTCTCGTTGCAGCTTTACTGCCTCAGCTGCAAATTTGTGACCATAGTCAACAAGACTCAGAGGACGTTTCTCACCAGATTTCCTGTCATACACCCTTTCTTTCAGAGATTTGTAGTTCAAGTCCAGTGCATCTGCGAGATCTTCTGGAGATGCATTCTTTGATTGAAACAATTGGTTGAGATGATCAAGATTTTCCACAACAGGGGAAAGGAAGGTGAAAAGCAGTTGGTTTGTTTGGTCTTCAAACATACTGAAAAGCATCCTGGCTCTGTAACGAATGGCTTGTGTTCCCTCATTCATGGCCATGCTGAAATAGTTCTTCAATGGTTGCCAGTGGTGAAGGATTCTTTTGACAATTTCACCCTAACTAACCAGCGAGTTGTGGACATCTTCTGAAAGGCATCTTCTTTGTTGCATGTTCGTCTTCTTCCATCTCTTCTACACAGAAAGCCTCATACAATGACATGTAAGCCTCCCTGCGCAGGTGACTATGACTGAAATAGCTCGGCACCTCACATAGCATGAAGCCAATGTTGGATGGCAAGGCTTAAAAAGCCCTCTGCATACAAAGGGTGATTGAGTGACACACACACTTCAGCAATACACAGTTTGGTGCCTCTGCTCTCACTCTGCTCCAAACGCTGGTGTGTTCTCCAGTCATGTTGGATGCCCCGTCTGTTGCTAGCCCCACGCATAAAGATAGGTCCAAATTGTATTCTTCTAGAATGCCCTTCAGTGTCTAATCTGTTTCTAAGTGACTCTAATCTGTTTCTAATTGACCCCTAATGGGTGAGACGCCGACGCGGCGCTCCTAAGTGACCCCTAATGGGCAGGGCGCATCTCGGCGCTCTAATAGGTTTCTAAGTAGCTCTAATCTATTTCTAAGTGATTTCTAATTGACTTGTTGACGCCGATGCGGCTACTGCTAATTACCGATGGCATCTTCGCGTGGATGCCATCTTCGCCTGGGCGCATTGCCGAGTCGCAGCGGCTAGTAATATCTAGATATCTAGTCGCTACAATAGTCCTGAGAGTCATCATTCTGGAGCATGGCAGATGCGTCAACCTCAGCATATGATATGCTGTCTTGGTAAATGACATTAGCATTGCCACTGCACACGCTGTGTTCTGAAGGTGAGAAACACTGACAGAACTGATCTCCATTACAGTAGCAACTGACATTTCTGACTTTCACAATCCCTTTGTCATCTGAATAGATCTGATGAACCTTCATGATTCCTCTGACAGTGGGAATGGTTGTTGGTATGGGAATGGCTGCTTCCATAGGAACAAGAAAGAGCTTTATGGTGGTCTTGTCTTTCAGTGAGAATACATGCTTGGTGCATCTTTCAAGTCAAACACACCCAGCTGCTTATCCATTGTTCATGTATCCTGTTTCCCAAGTATTGAGCTTCTGCTACTACAGCTGATAGGGTCTATGTCCCCCAGGGTACTATCGGAGGGTACCCTGGATACGGTTCGATATATTGGAAATTACCTTGGGGTACTATACGATATGTCGCTGCGTACCCTGCATTGTCCTACCGTACACTTTCAGCCAACTGATGTCGTAGTACATACGGGTGCTTCTGAGCTATTGAGTAAATTTTTTGTGACGAGGTCTAAAAAAATAAAAGTGCATGTATCCTGTACTTTATGGGCCCTGGTTATACCTGATATATTCAAAATTTAGAAATGCTACGCTAGAAGATAGTTTTGAGCGCATTATGTATAAAAATTCAGATTTTTGATGAGGTACTTTGAAAGTTACGGACGTTACTCAACATGCTTTGACATGGTTTTTGAAATAAAAATACAAGTGCTAAATTGAGGATGACTGTCAATTTATAACAAGTTAGATGCACGGTGTGTTTCCATAATGATCAATATTCAAAATTGCTATTTAAAAGAAAATATTCCATTAAATTATTTGTGTTACGGACGTTACCAAATATTTTTGACTTCACATTTGTTTCTACAGATTATTTTTGACTTCTAAAAATAGATTAGCTTTGCAATCTTTGTATTAGAACGTAGGCTATAATATGCGTACTTTGTAAATGTTTGTTTGAAGGTATGAAACAATTTTGGACAAATTCTTTTTCGGACGTGACTGTTGACAGTTTGACAAAAGTCATATTTGGAGATATCTGGACGTTTACTGATAGAACCGAGCTGAATATCCGTTATCGCCGGAGGCGGTTCGACTCCCAAGGGGTCTACTAAGTTATTGTCACTTGTATTCACTATTGTATCAACCACTATGGCAATCAACTAGACTGGGACTCGTACCCGCGTCCCGCCAACTAATCAAACACAATGGGATGGATGGAAAACATGCAGATATCCACCATACGAGCAACAGCAGAGCAGCACCTGCAGCATTAGATTTCGGAACCTAGCTGCATATATGTTATCGCCGCAGGCAGTTCCACCCCTAAAGAGTCAAGTACTACATCAGATGTTCCAATATCAACGCTCAGCATGTA